GAACAGACGCGAGCCAATCACGTTTTAGGATCGTGCAAAGGGCACGCCTACTCCTAAGCGTCCTCCAATCAGAAAGCGAGCAGATATAGATGATTAATATGAAACAAGGATTCTGAAGTAGGCGGGGCTTAGAGGACCAGAGGTGATCTCTAATTGGCCAGGTGCGATGGGTCTAATCTATAATGTTTGCATATTTGATAGATTGTACAGTTTGGTATCAGATTGTACCTTTTTAAGAGAGAATATCAAATCTATATTAATAGGTATATTTATAATAAAAATTGTATATTTTAAAAATAGTATAAAAAATTTATTTCTTTCTTTAAAATGTATATTTATATTTATAATACTATCCTCCTGAGAACCAGAAACAACAAAAACAAAAGTTTTGTGATTTTTTTTTTTTTGTCATTACATTGGTTGGAGCATAAGAAACAAATGGAGAAAAACATTTTTGAAAAAATATATTTTATTCATATTTTATTCTATGTCCTTTGTAGAGGATGCCAGGACTAAGTTACTCAACAACAACAACAACAAAAAAGACATTAAAAAGGCATGTATATGCAAAAACAATGTTTTTTTTTAATTATTATTCACCAGTCAGTTTTTAGGTTTCAGGCTATTTTTAGCCAAACTTTGTACAAAGATGATTCTCAACTATGTTATGAAAGATATAACAGAATGATTTGATATACTTTTGTACTTTATGGAATATATATGTGTAAAATGTCCATAAATTGTTATTCCCATTCTATACAATGTATCCATACATTGCATCTAATTTGCATATTAATGTGTTCTTGGGGCAACCCATAATGAAAAAATAAGTGTAATAATGGGAGTAATACCTTGGCAACATTTTCATAAGAATATCTCATATTTCATGAATATTGATCTATAATTTCTTTCTTTATTGACTTGTTGTGTTTCCCCAAAATCCCTGATTAACATGATGTTTGTCCTGGTGTCCTCTTCAGAAGACATGTATGAAAATTATGCCATTTTGTAACAAAAAGTCATATTCCGCTTTGAAACCCCATCACATTTTTCTGAGATGTTTATTTACGACAAACAATTTGAAAAATAGCCAGATTTAAATGATAATTACAAAACATTATTATATTTCCCTAAGAGTGCTAAATTTGGTCATTCTGTCAATATCGGTCATATTTAAAGACCAAGGAGATTTATGATGATCTCTATGATGATTTATGTTGATGTTTATGATGATCTCTAAAAAGCCCTGAATGTGCTCTGTACGGGACATCCAGACTTAAAACTGTGGCATGTGTTGTATATATATATATATATATATTTGTTAATAATTAATTATTCACAAATTAATTATTAATTCATAAAACGATAGGAATTGGAGTTTGCCCTCTCTGACTAGTTGTATTAGTTAGAGAAGATAACAGCGATCCAGAGAGCACTGAGCAGTGAATGACAAAGAGAGAATAATGTTCAAATCTAAAGCATGTCAAAATTATTGTTATTATTTGTTGTGGCAATTTTCTATTTCAAAAAGGCAAGAGGCAGGAAGTCTTTTGAATATTTATTTGTTGCAAGAAAGGTCAACAGTCTTACAGGTTTGCTGCAGAGTGCGCAATTCATCAAATCATAATGCACACTCAAGATATCTGTCCATCTAAGATACACAACTATGTCCCCTAGATGCGTTTCTAAGTATTTAATGCAAATTATCGTCATAGAAGCTAGGTATAAAATAGCATTTCTCATCTCACACTTGTCTTGCACATAATATTTTTAATATTTAATGCATTTAGCAGACGCTTATATCCAAAGCAACTTACAATGCATTCAGGAATCAAACCCATGGCCTTTTGCACTGCTAATGCAATGCTCTACCACTGAGCCACAGGAACATACACTCATTAAATAGATGTCCTGTTATCTCTCAGCTCATCAAAAACTCAAGCATATTGATTAAACATTCTATAGTAGAGTACAGAAAACAAAGCAAATAATAATAAGATTTCATATAGTAATAAAAGTTCCTCCAAATTATGAAAGCAAATTATGAAAGTCTCCCAGACGCAGGGTGGCGGTAATGTAGAACAGCGTCTGATTCACGTTCAGAGAATCGGTTCATTTCATTGAACAGGTTCACAGAAGCCCCGCGTGAAATTTAAAGTCTTATTTTTGCACTGAACAAATAAGTAGTTAAATACCACTGTTTATCACCATATTTCCGAATACGTCTGATTGAAAATGAAAAGTGTTTTCGCTAAGAGTCGAGTGATTCAATCGAATCGGTTCAGCTGAATCATCAATACGATTCTCATTCGCGAATCACTAGTGCAGGAAGGTGAGAGTTAAAGTTGTTTGACTTGCACATGCAGCTCTGATGTAAACGAATATTATGTTTAAAGCTCTTTTTAAAGCGTGGAAATCCTACAGGCACAGATTTGTCCCCTGGATAGCGTTAAATCTGCAGAAAAATGAGAGGTATAGTTCAGTTTGTGCTCCGTCAAAAATAGCCATGCTCAGATTTACTGAGTACAGTGTTTTTGTTTTCCCAGAACTCTTCGTCAGGTGAAGGATCCATCGCAAGATAAGCTAGTTGAGGATGAGGAGGTGTTCGGATCTCTCGTGTGTTTATTCACTGAACTCCTGAAAAACGATGTGAAGAATCAAAGCGCGCTGCTCCGGTTCCTCCCTCAGTCGAAACGCGACAAGTACACTAATGTTCAGAATGGAGCACGCGATGCTCCCTGCGCACTGGGGTTGAACGCTCTGGGCTTCCGGATCGAGCGGAAGCGCAGCTCTCTGCAGTTGGCGGGAACCGGCGTGTTTGTTACGCAGGGACACGCGCCGAAAGGAAGTATTGTAGCGATGTATCCAGGTGTAACACTTCAGTCATCTTACATAAATAATAAATAATCATGTAAAACACTTATTTGAACAATACTAACATTATTTTTATAACTATTATTAATAGTAATATTAATTATTATATTTAATTATATATACGATTCATGTTATTACTGTTTAAAAAAAAAATAGTTATTTGTTTTTAGTAGTGATTAATGCATGATTCCTAAAAAATAATTTTTACATCTCTAATGCAATTTCATACTTGTGACTAAACAATGTATTCAGTTATCCTTTATGACGTCTTGTAATAATAATAATAATAATACATAAGAACATTTAAATATTATTTAATGCATTCTTAATAATGATGATAATAACTAATATTATTAAACCATATATGAATATTATGAAACATTTTTTTATATTATTATAAATGATTATTATTATTAATGATACTACTAGTAATAATTTATTTACTTAGTAGTAGTAGTAATAATAATTTTTTTTATATAATTCATATTATTACGGTTTTAAACACTATTGCTGACAAATAGTACATTTTTTTAGTAGATACGAATTAATTATGCTATTTATAATTATTTTTATTTATAATTAATTAATATTACCAATTATAATAATACTTATTAATATAAACAATAATATTTAATAATAATATAACAATATTATAAAAAAAAAAAAATTATTATTACGTTTTAATATATAATAATATATTAATAGTATTATTTTTATATTACATTATAAATAATAATT